GGTTTTGTCACAATTGGAAAATTAGGCATATCTAATTAATTTGTGTTTGAGATGATAATTGTTCTTCATGATTCTATTAAATTTCAGAATTGTCCCAAGGAATTGGGGATTAAGGTTCAATGAATAGATTAACTTGCCTAAGGGATTAGGGGTAAACAACTCTTAATAAACTCGAGTGGGTAATTACAATTCTTGCATCAATTGAAAAGGGTAGGAATCTATAGGAAAGAATATGAAATCAATTCTCTAACAATTTTAATATTGAGTGAATTTTTGTTAATTTTCTATGTTCATTATTCCATCTGTTTTTTGATTGCTCAAAATTAACAAAAATTAGCAATCTAATATTCAGCAAATTCAATCCCTGAGGACGATAATATTATTACTACAGTAACGATTGATACACTTGCCAAACGTGCAACATTATTTTATATTTTATAACAGCTCTTATTATCAAGTAATTAATTAGATTAATAGGGTAATTACATCAAACTAAATTATATGAGCCACATAATGTTTTTTTTCCCAACATTCTCCCATTTTGCTTATATACTCTTTAGAGATCCTTATCATCAAAAACTAAATATGGTCATTTAACTTGAAGCTTAAAATTCCTTAAAACTATATAGAAATCATCATACATGAATCATGATGGTTATGTTTCAAGATAAACATTTTCTTCCATGTATTACGATCATAATACTTTCTAATAATTGAAATAGGTCCGTTTTATAATGATTCAAATGAATCATATCTTTATATGACAAACTTAATGCGAATAAAATCATAAAATCAAAAAGACAAACTTTAATGTAAATCTTTGAGTATATGATCCTAAAATATTGTAGCTAACAACCTTATACTAGATCATCAATTCTACAACAATATACTCAATAGATATTAACTCTTTTTTTATGTCTACTTTATGTCAATTTTCTTACCTTAGCTTTCACCTTTAATATTCTTTAAAAGAATACTTAGCCGAGAGTTCTTAATTGGTCTTCTCGACAATTTTAAGACCGAAAACATTATTCTTGTGATATAATCCCAACATCCAATGGATATTTTCTTTAAAGTGATATTCAAGAGTATCATATATTCCTCTTATTTTCTCAAATTTTACTTGTCAAGAATTTACTTTCACTATTTGACTCCCACTAACTTTTGGAATGTTTATATAGGATGATAAACTATATATCATTTTCATAATATAATATTAATGCTATGATAATTCGTAAATTAGTAAATTCAAAATTTTTAATGCAAAACATGCACAAAATTTACAAACTTTATATATGGACAATAAATATCATAATAAAATAAATCATGCCTATGGGTATAAAAGTATCCTATCATGACATTTAGTTCATAACCTTAATTAATTATTTTTTTTATGAAATAACTCTTTTGTAAAAAATTGTCTAAAGTTTAAACATTGTCAGTCATTATTCATAATATGATATAAATGTAAATTATGTATAAGTGTATGAATTTGATGACATAAAACTTGCCTATGGGCTAAAATTTTACCCAATTTGATTCATCACAGAACCTTATTATAAAACTATCAAATTAAGCACCTTTTCTTAATCCCTATAGGTAAATTAAGAAATATAATTTAAATTTTTATCCTTATTGATTATACACATAACGATAATTCATGTGAGATAAAACTTATTATATTTAAGTATAATCAATCACAATATTATGTCTAATTCTTTATGTGATTTTAAGCAACAAAAGATACAATTTCAATTAATTAAAGATGTTATGCCTAATCAATAATTAATTAAAAATATAAACATCACTATATATATATATATATATATATATATATATATGTTGTCATATTACGATCAAAATCACATTACTCTTGTTGACCAAACAAAAATAAGTTGGATAACAAGACCACAAATAGGCTATGGTACCAAATGTAAGAAAAATAAAAACCTTAATGTATAACAATGAAACATTATATGTATTCCTACATATAGAAGTTTGGTTGGCTTATGGTGCAAGTTATACTAACCATGGTCAAGTGGAACCATGGTTAGCTATCTTGTACTTAAGTTAACCAACAATATAATTACCTTCTTAGAAGCTTATGGAGCAAGCTAAGTTAATCCTAGTTTAGAAATAACCTAGGTTAGTTTAAATTAACTCCATCTACCTAACCTAATAATTACTTTTAACTAGTTTGTCGAAATGTCACTTTCAAGGCCATGTGACTTATTTTAATTAACAAGCTTGGATGGCTTCCTTATTAAGCAAGTGATTTGGACATTCAACCTTGGTGGATTTGAAATTTGTTTGAGTCATCTAAGCCCAAATAAGTCCATAGTTACACTTTACCTAAACTACTAATTACACCTTCCAAAGAAAAAACATAAGAAAATTTTTTTTTATACAACTTGACCCAAAATACATGGTCAAAAAAATATCCTATACAATATGTACAAGGAGACTAAGCAATTAAAAGAACATATACTCTAGGGTCATTATCTTCTTTAGTAGTTTCCTCCAATCTCCTTATCATAGACCTTATCAAAGGCCCTGTGTTATTCACAAATGGTACTCCATCAAGTTTCTTCACAAGGATTTGAAGCTAACGAACGTTTGCTTCGATGATGATTAAATGGCATAGGTAGTGGAGCAATCTAGTGACATTTTCCTAATTTAAGGCTTCCATCTTACCTCCTTTTTCTAGTCAAGGATTTGGATGCCAGAGAAGTCATTGGTGTCAAAAACTATGAGCAACGATGAGAGTGTGAGGAGAGAGTGTGACGTTCATGAACTACTTGAGGTAGATAAGAAGCTTCAATAGTTTTATGATGATTAGAAGGAAAACATCATCGTTTAACTAAAAACCCACTTAAAAGAATTATAATAATTTCACATAATATTCACAAGGACATCAAATCAATGTTAATTATTTAAACAGGATTAATGAATTTCAAACATTGATGCTAGTTAAATAAAAAAATTGAGACTAAATTGACTCACTTAATATTAGTAAAACTAAATTGAAACAAAAAATAAATAAAGAGACCGAAAGAATAATTTAGCTTGTAATTTATATATTTAAACACAATATTTATTTATTTATTTAATTTATTATAAATTTTTATATATTAAACACAAATTTATATCTTATGCGAAAATATTTTTAGAGACTTTCATCAATGAGAAAGTTTGTATGGACTCTTTTAACTTCTTATCTCATTCAATTTTTATTTATCATAATTATTTATTAATTAAATCTTAATATTTTTAAAATAAATTATCAATAAATAAAAACAATCATGTGCTATATTATAAATTATTTATCATAAATATAAAATATAATGTATATGTTTAAAAACATTAATTTGTTTACACAAATTTAAAAATATAATTTATATATATATATTCAAACAGAGTATTTTTTGTATGTATAATTTATTATAAATTTTAGTAATATAATAAACCTTTAACTTGTGTAATGCACAAGCTAATATGTTTGTGTATATGTATGTGTGTTGTGTGTCTTTGTGTGTGTGTAGAGAGAGTGAGAAAGAGGAGAAATCATATTATTTAAAAAGTAACAACTGATAAAGTTATTACATTCAATAACTCATTATGTATGTTAAGTTTCAACGATCCACCGTTAAATTAAAAGTTTATGTTTACAATTTTTAAAAAATTTGGAAATCATATAATACTTCATTATATAGATTCAAATAAATATATAAAATATTTTTATAATTATCTGTCAATTTGAATTAATGAAATAAAAAATCAAATAGTTTTCAATTTTTTAAAAAAATTGTAAACTTAATTTATGCATTAAATACTTTTAATTTAACAGTTGAATTGTTAAAATTAGTGGAATAACTCTACCAAGAGTTACTCTTGGAGTAATTTGATTCCTCTTCATATATATATATAGAGAGAGAAGGGGGGGGGGGGGCAGAGGAATGATCCACTTCAAGGAAAATTGAATTAGATATGAAGTTGAAAAATTTATAAAAACTCTTTTATTCAAGAAAAATTATTAAAAATATTTTTATATAAATAATTCTTCATATTTTATATATAAATATTGATTATTTTAAAACAAAATTCATAGAGACAAAAAACGTCCCTTTTATACTAGTATATATTAAAATAAATTAAAATTACAATTAATTTATAAAAAAAGAATAAATACAATGCTCCCATGTAACATCTACTTACATGACATAACCTTTGTTTATAATATTTTTATAATATAAAATAGATTAGAATTAATTTATTTAATGTTGTATAATATTTTATAATTGCTATAATTAAATACATTAATATGTTTTTTATGAAATGAAAAACAGAATAAAAATTATAAATTGAATAGTATAAATTTAAGGATAAAAATATATAATAAAAAAGTGAAAAGCAAAAAATAATTACTAAATGATATCTATAAATGTTTCATTCAAATTTTCTAACAAATTAAATTAAACCGAATAGAACTACTTTATAAGAGTGATGTGATTGGTTTGATTCTTTTCGCAAAACAATTTAATTATTATAATTTAGTTGAATTTAATTTTAGATAAATTTAATTTATTTTTTTTATATATATTCATTATATTTCAGTTTTAAATTTAAATTTAGTATAAATGATTTTAAAATTTTATGAATTAAAAATAAATTAAAAAGTTATTGAATATTTATTTAAAAATTATTAAAATTTAATTTATAAATAAAATGTGAAATAGATAAAAAGTTAAAAATGTTCTTAAAAATTTTCTCATTTGAGAGAAATTTTTACTCATTAATTTTTTTTCTTCTAAAAAGACTTTCACATCGTATTTAATATATAAGGATTCAAATTAAAATTAAAATATAATATTCGTATTTATTAAAAGAGAGTAATTTACAACTTCTTAATTTGGTTACGAGGAGAAGGATTCTTAAGCCCAAAAAGCTCTTCAGATGGATGCAGGCTTCAACTGAAACGTGAAAAATGGGCCTCAATATGTTTGTGAAGAACCTAAGGTCCAATAGTGGCCCAATGGGATCTTAACCCTACCCTTTATATTTCTTCTTCTTCTTCCCAAACCTAAGAGGGTTTAGTCGCCGGCCAGAGCTCGCAGCAGCAGGAGCACCACCGTTCACTTCTTCCAAAATGGGTATTTTTCGTCTTTCTCTCTTCTCCCTATCTCTCTCAAAGCATAATGAAGCTGATTCATATGACTCTCCGCAGGTATCTCTCGTGATTCCATGCACAAGAGGCGCGCCACTGGTGGCAAGAAGAAAGCTTGGAGAAAGAAGAGAAAGTAAATTCTTCTACCTTATTATTATTCACTATATTCAGTCAATTCAATATTTTGTGTTTCATCATTTGTTTTTATTCGATCTAATCAAAACCAGAGTTAAAACTCATTATCAAAGGGTTATCATAGTGAAACCCTAATTTTTACTACAGAAGTTGTATTTTTCCCAATTTAATTTTCAGACGAATGTTATGTGTTTAATGGGTGTGTGTTTGCTTGCAGGTACGAGCTTGGGAGGCAGCCAGCGAACACAAAGCTGTCAAGCAACAAGACGGTTAGGAGGATTAGGGTTCGTGGTGGGAATGTGAAGTGGCGTGCTTTGAGGCTTGACACTGGTAACTACTCTTGGGGGAGTGAGGCTGTGACCCGTAAGACAAGGATCCTTGATGTGGTGTATAATGCATCCAACAATGAGCTGGTTCGGACTCAGACATTGGTCAAGAGTGCTATCGTTCAGGTTGATGCTGCGCCCTTCAAGCAGTGGTATCTGCAGCATTATGGTGTTGATATTGGGCGCAAGAAGAAGAGTGCTGCTGCTTCTGCCAAGAAAGAAGGAGAGGTACAATACTGTATGTGTGTGTTAATAATATATGTGTGTCGCATATAGTTCTCTTTTAGATGCTTTCCGAACTAAACAGTATGTGGAATGTAGGAATAGCCTTTGTCATTGTTGGTTGTTGGAACTTGGAAGCTTTCATCTTTCCTTTATTGTGTGGTTTATACTTCACTTTCAATATGGCTATCCAGTTTATTGCTCAGTTTTATCTGTAGGTGCTTTGAGGACTATAATTGGTTATGATGCACTTTTTTGCAATTCCACTAAATCTCTATTTTTTTAATAACAAATTAATCTGTATGCACTGCAAATGTGGAACTTTTTTACCCAGGCATTTTACTACGTAATTCTTTTAATCAATATCATGTGGTGACAGGATATATCCTTATTGGATGTCTGTGTAATCATGTTGTACACTGATGGTGAATATAACTAAACTCATTTTAGAATTCTAGTTTTGAATTATTCAGTGGCTGTAAAGTCTCAATGCAAAAAATATATATATAAAATGAGTTCAGGAACTGAGTTGCTGCTGATGTTATATGAAATAGTTTAATTTTTAGAATTAAAATATGGTTATTGTTTTTTTATCGACTGTTATTTTTTTTTATTCAAAGAAAATAGATTCTGTTTTTCTTGTTTGCATGATGATAACCTTAGTCTGTTTCTTTACGTCATTCATCTTTTTCTTCAAACAGGATGGCGAAGCTGCAACTGAGGAGGTGAAGAAGAGTAACCATGTTTTAAGAAAGTTGGAAAAGCGTAAACAGAACCGGGTGCTTGATCCTCACATTGAAGAACAATTTGGAGGTGGTCGCCTTTTGGCCTGTATCTCATCCCGACCTGGCCAATGTGGCCGTGCTGATGGGTATGTTAACTTTTGTACTCATTTAGCTATCAGAGATAAGTACATGCCTTCCTGTAAATTTTAGAATTGTTTTTTCATAGTTAGAACAATTATCCCATTAGCAAAAGTATATAAACAATAATATAAAGAGCTAGAATTTAAATCATGATAGGGCAGCCTGAAAAAAAAGAAACTTAGTTTATCAAATGTTAAAACATTGTGTTATGTTAAGATCTCCATACGGTTGTGATTCGCTCTGTGGAAAGGAATTGCATGACATGGACATGTATCAGTAGTGTTGTTCCTTATTAGCAATGTTGTCATCTAATCTGTATGTTTGGTGATGCTGACTTCAAATTTAAATTAAGAGTTTGTTAGATGCTCACTTGTAAGGTTTACTGGCAAAAGGAACTATAGTTGAAAGTATTGTCAAGGGAACAATTTTCTTTAATTTTAAATTTAATTGTTCTGACTGTTAATGTCTTGTGGATTTTTGGCAGATATATATTAGAGGGTAAAGAGCTAGAATTTTACATGAAGAAGCTTCAGAGGAAGAAGGGAAAGGGTGCTGCTTAAGATATTCTCTCTTCGAACTCGAACAATCAGATGATCAGTTTTGCCAGTAGCTCTACTTTCTTGGGCGGGAGGGTTGTATGGGTTGGTTTAATTATAGCCAAAGTAACTTTTAATTGTTTACTTCATAGTGAGTTCTGTTCAAGTTGATTATTAAACTAGCAACTGTCCTTGGAATTATTTTCATTTGTAGTTTAATTTGGAAACTTAATTATGTGAATTCTTAAAATGAGTGTTTCTTTTTGATTTGTGATCTTAGCTTCCCGACGAATTGAATCGTACATTGAGACAAAATATCATTCTACAGAACTACAAGCATGTTTATTATTACTTGCAGTGTAGAGAAAGAATGGTAAAAATATCATTTTACTTACAAGTGACCATTTTATAAAGGCATTAAAACAGACACAATCAATGTATTTAAAAGAAATAATGTTAGATTAGATTTACATAAGAATTCATATTACTACATGAAGTTACAGTTGGGATTTTTATTCTGAACACATTCCCGAAAAGAACAAAAGACAAGAGAAGAAGGAAGCTTAGGAATTACACCATATGAGAAAATGATGAATCTTGCACCTCGATGTCTATAATCCATAATCCACCATTTCAAGGCGTAGCAAGAGTGAACTTGAGGTAATCTTCGGTTTCCAATTGTCAAAAACTCTGCATTTATTTTGGTAGTACAGTGCTGAAAAGGAGAGAATCAAAGAAATAAAACTTACAATTCAAGTTCTGGATTTATCTGCCCTTATGTGAGACACTAGGCCAAGCATCACTTCAATAGCTCAGCTCAACAAGTGATATCATTCTAACCCTTGGTTTATAATGATGAGTCAGACATCCAAAAACCTTGAAAGCCCCTCTTACAAATCTTCACATAATGCTTTCCTAAAATTTATGATTGCACGAAATTGAATTAAAGCATTGAAATTTGGGGAGAAAAATATACACTATGCTTCAACCATGAACATTAGAAACCATCAACACCTACCAATTCTAAACCGTAACTATTGTTGAATGCCCGTACCAATACCTTATTTTTTCTTATTGTTAGACAATTTTATCCCTAACTTCTACGAGTGATGTAGAGAAAGAACAATAAAACAAGGACTAGAAGAGAAAAAAGGAGGTAAAAGTAATCAGATTAGGAATTAGAAAATTTAATGCTTACTTCTTTTTATCGAAAAGAATTAGCCAGTGAATATCATTCTACTATTATAAAAGAAACATAATAATAAAGAAGATAATTCAAAAGAGGGAAAAAAAATCTGATTGATGTATTTTTTAAACTAACCTTTTTATAAATACATATACTAGTTGAATAATTATACAAAAAGAAGATAATAAAAATATAAATAATAATAATGTATGTTGAATATGGATATTCACTGATTAAGTCACTAATTATTATTCATTAAATCTATAGAGTTATGAGAAGAATAAAAAAAGTCACCTTTTATTTCCAAAGTTGGATGCCTTATGATTTCTAACGCTCCGAGAGACGACTTGTGTTGGTTATTTCTCGAGGTTTGCGATAAAACTTTGACCAAATACGTACAAGGGGCACATGTTGGATGATCCAGTGTTCTTGTCCTTCACTGGGAGCAATGTGCTGCTCAAATTCAATTGGCATATCCAAGACATGAAGAACTTTAAGTTTCTTTAAGTGTTGAATGCCAGAAGGTGCTGTTTTGAGTTGGGGGATGCTTGTTAACCAAAGCTTTTCCAAAGACTGCAATGCTCCTTTGTCAATGAAGATGGAATTCAAGTTACGCAAATATTTGAGCTCTAGTTCCTGTAGTTTTTGAAACCCTCCATATCGAAAAGGCAAAGTTTCACCTTCATAAGCACGATCGCCAATAGAGAGGAACATCAAACTCGGCAAATCCTTTAGAAATTCCAAAGGATCATTAGTTAAGTTGGAGTACACCAAGAAGAGTTTCACAAGATTTTGGAGTTGTGGAATCCAATTTGGCAAGTTTCCTAAGTTTCCATGCAGGTAAAGCTTCCTAAGCATAGAGAGGAGCAACATACAGTGCAAATCAATTGCTTCATTTTCATTCTCTGTATAAATATATAGTTTCCCGAAAAGTGGCATCTCATTTATTGAGGAACATAGAGTCTTTCCATATTCTCCCCTAAATTTATACATCCTTAGATCCCTTAATTGCCTTAGCTTTGCTAGAACTATAATCACAACTCCATCATCATCTATACTCAGTAAACTTAATTTTTGTAGGGATGTCATGCCACCAAGACTATCCTTCAATTGAATGGAAGATATAGTATTAGCCAAAAGATATCGTAGCTTTCTAAGCTTGCCAATCTCCTTTGGCATCTCAAACACAAGTGATTGTCGTACATCCAAGGTCTCCAAGTTTTGGAACTTACCAATGGATTTTGGTAGACTTTCTACCCATGTTTTCTTGAGGCTCAAATACTTCAGGTGGATTAAATTTCCCAAATTTTCAGGAACATAAAATAACCGAGAATCATCAAAATCAAGTACCTTCAATAGCATGTATTTTGTTGGGATACTCCTTACAAAGTGTTCAGATAATCCATTATTTGAGGTAATTAGAATGGATAGTGTGTGAGCTTTCAATGCTTCCAATTAAATCATTGGAACATGTTGCTATTGTTAGGCGACGAACAAGCCCACTTGACACTGATTGATCATGTTCACCAATATACCGACAAAATCTTATATCCTTGATTTTTCCAAGGATCATTTCATGTAGTAAGTGTAACGTCTAGTCGTATTAATATTAACTTCAATATTATACGTAAATAAATAATATACTTTATATAATTAATATTATTATACATAAACCAAAATTTTATTTTTCATACCATCGCTTACATATAGCTCTTTATATTTGCATCATATCTTAAACAAAAAAATATATTTATAATAATGTACATTCTTATAATCTACTTATTTCCTACACTAATTATATGATATTTACATTTCAGGTTGATATAAGTTCACTATTTGGTTAACATGATTGGTTGGAGGGAGATAAAAAGTGACTACTATTTGATCATCTATGATAACAGGATTTTGCTGGGTTGGTGAAAACGCAAAGGTTGATAATCCTATTCCTTGAAATGTAACGGCATTTGCAGATGCGTCCATGACCCAACTGGTACCCGGAAAAACTGCAGTAATAACGGAAGTGAAAGGGCCTGATAGGAGTAGTAGATCTATCTATTTTATGATATATTAATTTTTTTTTCACAACAAGAAATAAGGAGTGAGAACACTTATTAAATAAATATAATTAAAAGAACAAGATTATTTATAGTAACATAAAAATTAAATAATAAAATTTGAATTATTTTAATAGTGACTAGTCAGGATAAATGAGCATTATTGTAATATCAATCAAATATCAACAGAATATTTTACCATAAATGCTTACTCATTTAAATTCCCAATATCAAACCTCCAGCTATAAATAATTCAAACTATAGAACAATATTTATGAAGATAAATACATGAAGAAATAATAATAAGACAGGTTTAAAATATCACAACTATATCATAGTTGATTATAAAATATATTTACAATAAATATATTTACGTAAAAGGAATATATTAAAAATATCAATGATATAAATAATTAAACAATATAAAATATGAACACCTTAATAATTATTATGGATAAAAATAACCATAGGTTAAACAAATAAATGAGGTTAGGGACACCTCACTAGATAAATGTACAAAGAAAATAACATAAATAATAAATATAGTAGTAGGTAAAATTTTCAATAAACAAAGTTCTCCTATGTATAACTGCACAAACCATTAAACCATTTCATTTTATATGTCTATTACCTTATAATAAGTTGTTTTGTTATCTAATTATCATAAGATATTATAAATAATTATAATATAATTGGATATTATACATACATATATATATATATATATATGTATATATATGTTTA